TTAGACTGCTCCCTCCACCTTCAACACAAGGGAACCCTCTGTCCACTGGGACATCTTCCCCAGAGACTCTGACATGACAGAGCCACCTACACTCCCGTGCTACGGAGCACATGTGCGGGTCCCTGGTGGGGTATGGAGGAAAATCAGCCTCAATTGGTGGGCAGTGCCACCATCAGCAAGCTGTCTCCCTCCAGAGCCTACATGGGCGGGGAGGGGTTACCAGGAGGACCCAGACCCAGAGGACCCCTGAGCAACCCACCTGCCCCAGGTCCGACTTGTCCTGGCCCAGGCAGAGCTGGCTGCATAGAGAGAGGAAGAAAAGGACACTAAAGCCTGGATGGATGCAGGCTGGGCCAACAGAATCAGAGAATTGGATCCAGGAGATCTGCAGGCCTGAGGCTACAGCCCCTGCTCCTTCCGGATGTGGAGCCGAGTTGGTGGTGCAGGAGAAGGAGAGAGACAAACAGTCACTGTGCCCATCCCAAACCCGATGGTGCCCAGCCTTCTGAAGCCAGGTCCCGTAGTGTAGAGGGAGCTTGGGGACACTCCTTGCTGCCTGGGACCTCACAGCCTCAGGGCAGACATGGCCACTGCCTCAGAACTCCAGCCTTCCAGTTGCCTCCTTGTCACCCCCACAGACTGACTGCTGTACCCCACCCTGTCCTAGTCCCAGTCCTCCAGATGCCAATCACTGTCCCAGGGCCTCCCCAGACCACTGCACAGGCCAAGTCTCCATCCCAGCCCTCCTAGAACAATGAATTTGGTGGTGGACAGACAGGACCTGCAGACAAGTTCCATTTCCCAGGTGCCCCTTGTACCAGAGGCCTGGGCTAGGGGCTTGCCCATGCAAGCAGGAAATACAGGCAGGCAGGTAGCTCCTAGTTCACAGGCACTAGGCTGGCCCAAAAGGGTGCTGTTGCAAACTGCCATTGAAATGGCATCTTCTGAACACTGTGTGCGCATGTGCATACACGCACGTGCGTGCCTGTGTGTCCAGCTGGGCAGGAGCTCCCCTGAGACACCAGACCCCATCTAAGTTAAATCCCCAGAATATTCCTCCAGATCCCACTCGATCCCCCTCCCAGCACATATTATAGGCTTTAATTTCTTTTTATTTGCCACTGTTTGCTCGATCTCCGCTCCTCCCACCAACTGAATGAATGAATGATGGGATGGAAACCTGCATCCCTGTTACGCTTTTGACTCCAGCACAGCCTGTAAGTGCTCCGAGCTTGGGACTCAGGACCAACCCAGAGTGATCCCAAGGCACAAACCAAGGGGACCTTCCTGGAGGAGGAGGGCAGGGAGCGAGGGGGCTTCTATCCTGCCTTCCACTCTTGATGCTCACGCTCTGTCTCTGACCGGAACTCTGGAGGGCAGAGGTTATGTCTGGGCCATCGCCAGTACACCCCTCTGCCGACTACGAGCTGTGACTCAGGATGCATGAGCCTGTGCTCTTGGCCAGGAACCAGCAGATGCTACACAACGTCGCAAAACCACAGGAGGAAGCAGTCAGTGACCGCACTTACGCGCGGAGTCCCTCCTCCACCCAGCCAGTGGGGCAATGACCTTATCCTGGGGTCAGTGGCAGCAAGGAAAGTCCTGCTCAGAGGAAGGGGGCATGACCTCGATGGCCTTGCGCCTCCTTGGGACCTGGTTGCACATCATCCTCTTCCCCACCAAGCAGCCCGAGCCCTGCCCCTGTAACCTCCACTGCTCTGTGAGCTGGAGGGAGACAAGGGAAGTGCCAGGCAGCCCTGCGTCTGCCCTTTCCCTCTGTTTCAGCTCAGATGCTGGGGAAAGTGGCGCTCAGGGATGTGGCTGCTGTGGCCGGTGGCTGGCGCCAGCAGAAATCCCCAAACCCGTCAGCAGACCCTGTCCAGACGCGTCTGCTGCCCTTGGCACTGAGTCAGTGCCAGCAGACACCTGTGACCCGCCCCACCCCAGCCTGCCCCTCTCCCGGAGCAGCCCCTCCTTGGCCCGGCCCAGTGCTGTGCCTCCTATCCAACCATGGCAAAGGCCTGGGGAAAGGAGCCCAGGCACCAGGCCCAGAGCCCAATTGGGTACTCTTCATCAAATGACCTTTGGGCCTTAATTTCCCCAACTGTAAAATGGGACTAAGACCAGCAACCTACTGGTTCATTGTGAGAATAAGGAGGTACACAAACCAGCTCTGCAGAGAACAGCAGCCAAAGGCAGTCAGGCTTGGCACTGTGCTGCCACCATTAACAGCCGCAGGGAGCAAAGGCCAGTATTGGGAAACTGACGCCTCAGAGAGGGGAGAGTATCAGGGCTGCAGGAGGCAGGGAGCCCGCAAAGCTCCATGTACGGTCTCCCACTGCATCTAACAGGAGCCAAGGGGCCTTGTGACAAGCACTGCCACCAGCATGTATTCTTTCTTCCTTCTCCGAAGTTTAACTGAAGGCCCATAGAATAAAACTGCATGACCCAACTCCCCGTGCAGCTTGGTGCGTGCATGCATGCATGTGGCTAGGTGAGTCAGTAGCTAAGTTCTGGCCAATGGGATATGAGAGGTGTGTGTAGCTTCCAAGAAGTTCCTTCAAGGGAAGGGGTGTGCTCTTGAGGTTCTCTTCCTCCTTCCCACGGCCTGGAGCTCCAGCAGCTCTGCTGGGTGTAGTGAGATGACCTCAGAGATGGAGATCATACCCTTCCGATCAATAAAACAGGTGACATGTAATGACCATATTATCTAGAAGGTTTATTGCCGGAGGTCAAATACATGAGCAGAAAATGCACAGCTACCTTATATAACAGGTAGTGGCTTCTACTCTGGTGGACACCTCAAGACACATGTGGCAGTGTGGGGAGGGATGGATTTGGTGCTTGGAAGTGAAGGTGACAATTCTATCAGGAAAACTTCCTTCTACATGCTCAGGGTGACCAGGAGGAGCATGCTAGGAGGACTTAGTCCTAAAAGGAGCAGGGGATGGATGGAGAGAAGAGGGGGGAGAAAAGCAAAGACAAAAGGAAAGAAAGAAGGAAGGAAGGATAGATGGATGGGTGGATAGATGGATGGGTAGAAGGATGGCTGCATAGACTGAAAAAGGGAAGGAAGGAAGGAAGGGAAACCTGGACTCCTCACCTGGATTGACATCCTTGGGAACCCAAAAGACCAAATCATGCCGAGGAAGCACCATGTCTTAAAGCCTGAGGGCATAGGATGGAGTGGGGGTAGGCAGCTGGCAGGGTTCAGGGGCTGAGGGAGCTGTGACCTGCCATACCCCTCTAGGACTCTCCTGGAGGGACAGCTGTCATGTCAGATCCTAAACCCTGAGCCCCTCTGCTCAGCCAAGCCAGGCCAACGCTGGGTCACATAGAGCTGGCACGAGGCCTGGGAGGACAGGAAAAGGACAGTCCGCTGACATCTATGTCATCTTCGGTAGTTTAGACAACGCACAGGGATCCTCTTGCAAAAAACCTTTGGAAAAAACAACTGTATGCTCAGATCTAAAATGCCCCCCAAAAGCTGAGGGTGTGGGTGCACACCTGTAATCTCAGCACTCAGGAGCCTGAGGCAGAAGGATTGCCACAAATTTGAGGCCACCATCAACTACATAGCAAGTTCAAGGCCAGACTGGACTAAATAGTGAGACCTTGTCTCAAAAAATAAATAAATAACATAAGGCGTCCTCAAAAGTCTCATGTGTTCACAGGTGGGGCGTTGGGAAGGGAATCAGGGATGTCGTGGTCATCAGGGGATAATCTACTGCTCAGTGAATAGGCCAATGTGTTGTTGGGAGGTAGGGGCCAGGTAGGCACAGACAGGTCCCTGGGCGTGTGCCCCAGAAGGTGGATTCTTACCCCCAGCTCCTCTCTGCCCTTACTGATTCCTGGCCACCATGAGGTGAGCAGCTCTCTCTGCCAGCCCTCTCCACCATGCCATCAGAGCCAGCCAACTGTGCACTGGGGCCTCCAGAACCATGACCAACAACAATTAAATGTGTTTCTTGTATGCAGCATATTGTTGGATCTTGCTTTTTGATCCATTCTGCCAGTCTGTGTTCTTAGTTTTGGGAGTTTTTTTGTTTTGATTTTTTGGTTTTTGTGGTGGGTTTGTACCAGGGATTGAACTCATGACCTCACACTTGCCAGGAAGGTGCTTATGCCACTGAGCTAAGTCCCCAGCCCATGAATCACAACAACAAAATGCCATCTCCTTTCAGTTGCAAATGTGCAGTGTTTTGTCCCAACAAAGAAAACTGATAGGTATAATGACAAGTGGGGACTTTAAGGGGAGACCTAAGTGGCTGTCCATAGCTCCCTGGTACAGCGAGGGAGAAGAAATGGTCTTGTGTTAAAGTCAGTGAGACTCGGGGCATGGGAGGGAGAACTTGGACACAGCTCTTGGGGTGGAGGGAGATGCAGGGAAAGGGACAGGGGCTCAGTGACCAGATCCTGAGCTCCCCAGAACCAGCCACAGCCTCTAGTTCCTGGCTCTGCCAAGCTGGATTCTGGGATAATCACACAAGTGGGGTTTGGAACAAATAGAAGTGAATTTGAAGCTGCTCTGAGCCAGTTACCTAACTTCTCTGTGTCTTCCTTTCTCTTTCTGTTAAAAAAAAAATACCAGAACTGGGCTCAGAAGACTGCAGGAAGATTAATTCAGTGGATGCCAGCTTAGTGCCTGGCACCCAAGGCAAGCTTTATAAATACTCCCTAATGGGGCTGCTATTTTTCTCCTGCCTGGGCAAAGATTCGACTGAGAAGTCTCTGCGTTCTTTTCAAGTCTGGATTCCTTGATTCCACAATCCTGTGATTCACCAATTGGGATTGTGAGACCCAAGGAAGGGGGACCTGCCTGCCCAGCTCTGCGCCTTGGAGCCCTTGCCCAGCACCTAGGCACAGCCCAGCCTGCAGCTGCCTCATTTTATTTCCACAAGTGGACTTCTCATGCCTGTCATGTGTCCCCAGCCCCGTGGGCTGTTCAGGGCTGCAGGTGGCCCCACCAGCTGTTGCTGACCTCTGCCTTGTGTCCTTACCTGGAGGTGAGGTGGCACGAGCCCTCCAGCTGAGTCCTTCCTCACACCTACAGTCCCCTGACGGTGTCACATGCTGTGGAAGTTGGCAGGGCCACCGTGACCACAAATGCCAACACAAACACCATTCCTGTGGAGGGGGAAGAGACCGTGGGAGTTATTTTTAACCTGTGGATCAAAGCCCACAGCTCTGGCCCCAGGGCCTGGGGCGAGGGGCTCTGCAGGAACGGAGGTGGCGACAGCACCTCAAGGACTCCCAAGGTCATGGGCTGCAGGGACCACAGCCTTCCCTCACTTGGCTGGAGAGGGAGCAAGGGAGACCCAACTGGGGATGTGCCTCATCTTGACCCCTCGATTCCCACAGGGACTGAGCCAGCCGTTCCGAAAGAGCGCAGCGGCCGTGAGCCCAGGGACTCTGCCTGGCGATGGGTTCTCCATGGTCCTTACCTTGTGCAGCCAAGGAATCTGAGCCCTGAGACAGGGCCCAAGGTCACATTGCTGGTCCATACCAGCCGCCTCCCTCTTGTCCACCTGTCCTCCCAGTGGACAAGGCGCATGTGGACATTTTCAGTGACTTTCCAAGGCTGTCCTCACTCTGCCCTCCCTCAGGCTGCCCCCTCCAAGGGCTGAGCCCCTGACAGCACACAGTGAGACAACCCCCACCCAGGCCTGGCTCACCCTGCAAGGCCTTTCTGGGTGCCCAAGCAGTGCCCCCTAGAGGCCAGCAGCAGCCATGGACAGCGCTGCAGTGGCTGGAGGCCCAGGCGAGGACGTGCCGGCCAAGGCGTGCCTGCGTGGGGGGAATGGGACCAGCTTCTGCCAAGGGCTTGCAGCCCACAACTGCTGAGCCTGTAGGCACAGGGTTGGGGGGGGGCAGATAATGGATCCTACGGCCCCGTCCTGGCCTTGGCCCTGTGAGCTGTGCCGGCAGCACCTCATGGGCCCTCACGTAGCCCACGTCCTGCCAACTGAGTGGCCCTTATCACTGATACGTGCCATGAGCCTACACTAAAGCAAGGAGGGAGCTGGGGGCCCCAACAGGCAGGACCGGAGGAGAATGAGGTTACCTGCCACCCCAGCTCCCAGGGAGAGATCTGGATGGCCTGCACACCCCTTGACGAGCCCCCATCCTCAGAGATACCCCAGCCCCGTCTGGCCAGGCCTGGACTGATACCAGCCAGACCAATAGGCTGAGGTGCAGGAAAAGGAAAGCAGAGGCCACACCTCCCTAGGGAGACTCAGAGTCATCAGGCCATGAACACCAGGTTCTGTAACCATATATCTTATGCCATAGTAGCGAAACAGGAACGGAGCCTGAGACAGTTACTCAGGATCACACAGCTGATAGGAATGGAGTCAGGCTTCAAACCCAGGTGGGCCTCTGCAGAGTTCAGCTGCCCCAAAGAGGGTCCCGGGAATGCAACAGAGGAGACCTGCCTGGGAGATGGGGGAGATTCATTCCTGTCCTCAGACACAGGCCCCTTCTCAGGGAGCTGACAGGTGTGCCCCAGGGGAACGCACAGCCCTGTTCTAGCTTTGGGGTTGTGTCTGCACCCCACTTGCCAGTGTCTAACCTCCCTCCAGTGGAAGGGACCCCTCAGTGAGGCCCTGGGCAAGGTCTTCCCCAGAAATGTTCTGGGGACCCGGGAGACAGGACTGGGGACACAAGTACTACCACGTCTGGCCCAGGGCACCTGGGTTCATGGGCCTGAGCAGCTGGGTCACATCTGGCCTCCAGACTGTGATTCACCCAGCCTTGCTTGTCTGCCGGAGCAGGCTCAGCCACACACACTCTCCCACACTCGCAAAGAGTGGCTGGGGTCAGGGGAGAGGAGGACCTTCCTCCCTCGCAGCCCGCCTGTCACCTCAGCCTCTGAGGAGGGTCCCGTCCAGCCCTGAATCACCATGACTCGGTCTCCCCTGGACCTCACACTGAGGTTTCACAGGCTCCAAGCGGGTCCAGTGATCTGGCTGGATGGGAGCTTTGGAGAACAGAGGATGGTGCCCAGGGAATGAGGCCGGAAGCAGGGCCCACAGGGCATTTCCTGTTGAGCGGGAGTTCCTTGAGCACAGGGCTGTGACTGTATGGGGCTGAGTCTCCTCCCTCAAATGGGGGCTCCCCAGGACAGGTCCCTCTCCTCCCTCAGACTGAATTCCACGACAAGGGCTGTGTCTACACATCAAACTGGGTCAGAACTGGACCTCCTCTAGCATCTCACACAGATGAGTCATCCACATCCTAGCATCGTTTTGGGGCTTTTAGCTGGCTGTGGGTGGGGATCCCAATGAGGGACAACGTGCTCCCAGCCTGCTCCTCGGCACAGCCTGCTCCTGTCCACCCACCGCCCCTCTGGGTGGTCCCTGCCCCGGCCGGTCCAGACACTCATGCTAAGTCACCCTGGGTGGCTGGGTAGTGTCCTAGACCGGCCCGGGGCTGGTGGCAGGGGTCCAGCAGAGAGTAGAGACATCTTCTAACTCCCTTGGGGCGGGCTTTCCTCAGCGGCGGTGCCTGCAGCCATCTGGGCCTGGGTATCCGTGGCAGCAACTTGGGGAAGCCAAGTAGATTGGGGGCCTGCGACCCTGAGCCCAGATCCATACAGGAAATATTTCAGACCCCCATTGGCTTTTCCTTATCCTATGCAACAGCCCCCGAAGAGAAGAGGAAGAGCCCTCCTACTCCGGTGACTCAAGACACCTCTTCCCTCTCTCTTGATCACCTTCCAGGACCAGGCTGTCCCCTCCTCTACCTCCACTGCACCGTTTTCGGGGTAATAAAATGAACCAGGGCAGCACTGAGCCAGTGAGCTCACCCCAGAAAGAAAGGACTTTGTGTGCCTGTGATGCTAGGACTGGGGCTTGGACCTTGCTTGGCCCAGCAAGCACCCGCCATCGAGCCACACCTCCAGCCCCAGAAGGAAAAACGCTGGGCCCCCTAGTTTCAGGAACAGCCCCATCCCCGGGCTGGTGGGATTGGCTGGGTGCCCCATAGCTGAGGGTACCCCTAGATATCCATCCCGCTGCACAGACAGAGAGATGAGGCCTGGAGAGTCAGGCAGATACTGCCACATGGTGACCCATCGAGTGCATGATGGACACCCATGCTGCCTGAGTCAGGGTGGCCCTGCGCCTGCATCCTTGAGGTCATGGGCCAGCTTCCAGCTTCATCTCAGGAGTTTGCAGGTTGGGGGACTGAATGGAGCAGGCTGAGCTGGCCTGGAAGATCCCATAGCCAGCAGGCTCAGTACCTCCTCCCCTCTGGGCTCTTCCTTGGCCACAAGGCCCCCCACCATGACCCCGCTTGGCCCCTGACAGCCCCAGACTCCTGGTACCCAGGCAGGGAGGCCACCCAGGAGCATGGGCAGCTGTGCACAAGGCCAGAATGGGTCACCTGGGGAAGTCCCCAAGACCTTGGGCAAGTACTCCCTCCTCTAGCTTGCAAAGAAGCAGCAGAAGCCCATGTGCTGGCCCCTGTCCCAGAACCCCAATTTGGCCAGCCTCTCCCCCTACCACATTGGCATCATCTCTCTTTCAAGTACAATCCTTGCTCCAGCCAGATGTATAAGCACAGGCTTACGCCCAAGACACTCATGTCCTCCTCACAGATCTCTGCTCAGCCTTCTCCTCATTCCCCGTGACCACCCAGAAGAACCCTGGCACTCCCAGGAGAGCCAGAAAGTATAGTCAGAGGCCACAGAGGGGAACAGCGATACAGCATCCCCACTAAGCTAGCATGGCTGTCTTCCAGGAAGGCACCCAAGCCATCCTCCTAACTGCACAACGGCAGCCTATGCTGCTCTTCCGGGCAGCAAATTCAATGGTCTGCTATCCATCATGCTACCCACCAGGACATTCTGCAGCCCAGCTCTGCAGGAAGCACTGTCCTGGAGCCCAGCCCCGGCCTGCAGCTGCAGTCACAGGAAGGTGCTCACAAAACTTAGCTTTGTCCCTAGCCCCACTCCACATGCAGTTTGGTCCGGCCTCTGTGTTTTAAATCGTGGTAAGATAGCCAAAACATAAAGTTTACAGTCTTAATCATCCCTAAGCGTACGACTCAGTGGAATCTAGCACTTTCCCGTTGTTGCTCAACCCTCACCACTGTGCATCTCCTGCTCTCTCTTGCAAAACTGCAACTCTACCGGCTAAATACTTCTTCCCAGCAACTGCCTCACAAAGGTGGACTCACCAAATATTCATCCTTCTGTGATTGGCTAATACCGTCCTAAAGTCACCCATGTTGAAGCCTGTGTTAGAATTCCCTTTCTTTTTTATGTTTTGTTTGTTTGTTTTGATTGATTTGTTCTGGTTTTTGTTAGCGCTGGGGATTGAAACCAGGGTCTTCTCCCTGTGCCATAACCCAAGTGCTTTTTAAATTTTGAAACAGGGTCTTGATCAGTTGCTAAAGTGGCCAAGTTGGGCTCAAAGTTTTGATCCTCCTGCCTCAGTCTCCCAGAGTACTAGGATTACAGACATGCATCACCACGCCCCACCATGGTTTAGTATTGTGCCACCAGACCCAACTTCCCTTCTGTTTAAAACTGACTAGTATTCCATAGTGTGCATGTGCCGTGTTCCCTACCCCCATGCTGGGGACTGAACCCAAGGTTTTGCCCATGCTAAGCAAGTGCTCTATCCTGAATGAGGTCCTCAGCCCTGTGCAGCTTTTTATTAACTGCTGTTTTAGAAAAGCAAAGTGATATATCTTAATGTCTGGTAAATCCCTGGAATTTTTGAGTCAGAAGGGCCAACAGGTTTATGTCCCTTTTTGACACAGTGACACATTCCTCTCCAGCACTTCTGAAGAGTGAGTATGCAGTAGAATCACACACAGAGAGTCGGGCATGGTGGCTCACGCCTGTAATCCCAGCATTCAGGAGGCTGAGGAAGGAGGATCCTTGCGAGTTCGAGACCAGCCTGGGCTACAAAGTGAGCTCAAGGCCAGCCTGAACTGCATAGCGAGACTCCGTCTCAAAAAAGACAAAAAAAAAAAAAAAATTAGGATCACACACAGAACGTGCAACAACAGACTGCCTGGCCCCAGGCCTCGCTTCTGACCCAGTAGTTCAGGGGATACAAAAAAGGAGTTCCTAAGAAGCTCTATGGGCCCCAGATGTTGCCAGTGAGCAAACCCTCGTGTCTCGAAATCTCACCTGGGCTTTTCCACCTTGTCAACCGCAAAGCCCAAGCTCATTGCTCTGAGCCACCATGCACTCTGCAGATGAGACATCTGTGACACAGCTAATCAGGCCCCATCGATACACTTGACACTGCTTTCAGGTTTTAAAAGTGGAAAATAAAACTGCCACGTGCACCCCTGAGATGCCTATGAGGCAGATCTGATGATCCCCTGGACACCAGTCCTTGAGCTACCGGGAGTCATGTCTTCTCCTGTGCATTGCCAACCCTGTCCTAAGCACAGCTATCTCTCCACCAGCTAAGGACAGCTGTGCCCACCCCATGGGAGGGGGGAGTCACCCTTTTAGTTGTTGGCAAAGCTGGTGAGAAGAGAATCTTTCCATTTCTTTATTTAGAGCACTCAGACTCTGAGGGGAGGGGCGAGGATTTCCACCTGCTCACTAACCATTTGTCAGCCCCTCCCGTCCATACGCCTTGCTCTGTTTTCTATTGGTTGTCCTTTATTGTAAGAGTTCATCTGTCAAATTATTGAGAATATTTTTTAGATATCATACTTTAATGTAGCCAATTTTCAAAATCTTTGCCTTTGTGGTTCCTAGGTTTCATCATACATTCCCCAAACCAAGAATACATACTTTTAGATTTCTTTCTTTCTTTCTTTCTTCTTTTTTTTTCTAATGTTTTT